CCCCCGTTTAACATGGCTCACCCCACCCCCCCCCCGCAATCATGTTTGACGCTACGTCAGCTGAAAATTGTCGATCCCGAGACGAGGCGAGAGGTGGCGTTGGGCGAAGTAGGGGAGCTTTGGCTTTCGTCCCCGTCTGTGGCGGCGGGCTACTGGGGACAACCAGAGCTGACAGAGGAAGCTTTTAACGCCAGGGTTGTCGGGGAAGAGCAAGGGGAGGGTTCGGACAACCCCACAGGGTGAGAGCTTGTTCGAAGTGCGGTAGTTTTGTTGTTGTTGTTGTTGTTGTTGTTGTTGTTGTTGTCTTGACATAAAAAAACGTTCCGATCTCTCTGCCCAGTTTCTTCATCTGTCCGTGCTGATTGACCGGTCGACTCCCGTGGCCACAGGCTAACTTACCCTGAAAAAGGTACTCCAGAGTGTATTTTGTTTGGCACGTTGTTTTGGTTGCTGGCGCTTGTCTTGCTCGTGACGAAAGAACGCCCACTCCAGGAGAAAACTACATCTTCCCACACGCTATGTGTATATGTCCGCAGAGCTTTGGTGGTTGCATTTAGCACGTGCCCCGAGGTCGGTTTCCCACGATCTACACCCTGCCAGTCGGGCTTACGTTCTGATTTGGAGACGGCAAGAACAACCATGACAACAGCAGTTTTGAAGACGACAGAGAGAATCATTCGGAAACGAGCCATTGCGGTTTCGTTTACGTGCCCTGCCCCCCCCCCTCCCGAAATCGTATAAGTGATCTCAACCTCCGGCGATATCAGCTTACATTCGGAATCATTTTTTTTTTTCTTGTATGGGGTGGTAGAACACACCCCAATTCCAGGGCCCTACTACGTTGGAAAGAAGCGTTTTTGTTCTTGTCACACGCGGTTGTTTGGTGCTGAAAAGCGTGCGCTTGCTGCTGCGACGATGATGTCCCCCTAGAGACCAAAAGAAACACGCACACATTCAACGGCACTGAGACTGACGTCTTTTCATTGGTCAGCCGGTTAGGGCGGTCGATGCTACTAATATAAAAAAACACACACATAACGCGGCGTGCTCCATTGTCGCATCTCATGGACATGGCAGGACCGTATTCCTGCGCACGGGAGACCTCGCCAGGCTGGAGACTGGGGGCTCCGGCCGCCTCTTCATCTCGGGCAGGATCAAGGACCTTATCATCGTGAGGGGAAGGAACCTCTACCCCCAGGTGCGTGAGGGGCGATGCCGGTGCAACCACCAATATGTAGCGTTATCGTAGCATAGTCACCATGATTTTGGTTCAAGCTTGATGTGGGAGTTGTGTCTCCTGAACCAACACGCCTCCTTTCATGTCTGTCTGTAACGTCCAACGTCAATCGGAGAATCCTGCTTGACCAGATAACAACAAAGAAAAAGACAAACGGTGGTAAACATTTGGTAGTATGTACCGTAGACGTTTGTTGGTTGCCCCCCCCGTCCGTCCGTTTTCATGTCCGTCCTGACGAACCATTCTGTTTTGTGTTGTTTTTTGGCGTTACGGAAGTCGCGTCGTCTCCTCGGCAATTAAATCGACTGCGACCGTTTCACCGTGCTGTTATGCCGTTGCTGTTGTTTTGCCGTGACTACTGCTGCTACTGTTATTGTTGTTCTTGTTTTTGTTCTTGTCTTAGGATGTGGAGTTCGCGGTCCAGGAGGCCAGCAGCATAGTCCGACCAGGGTGCGTGGCGGCCTTCTCCACCACCGAGCTCGGTGGAGAGCTAGAGGTAAGGACGTCCTACAAGGACACAGCAAGCAGTAGGCTGCTGTTGTGATCGATCGTAGATGAACCAAAACCAACCCCCAAGAGGTGATGGTTGGGAGTTGACCGGAGAGAGTAGGAGAGCGGAGGAGAGTACAGGAGCACGTGTGGAGGGAGAGCGTCTCGGTGACTGTCTACGCACCTCTCGCCAGGGGTATCGCAGAAGCACTCCTCTCTGAACCCCCCCTCCACACAAAAAGGGATGTACAACATTGTAGATAGTTGGAATGCCTGACAGCTCCGCAGCATGTCGTGTTTTTTTTCTTTTTTTTTTCCTCCCTCCTCTGTGTACGGGTTGCGATGCTGGCTCTGTATGCTGCTGTATCCCTCGAAGTTAACCGTGTGGTAGTAAATGCCATCAAGAGCACGACAGCGTGCATGGTTTCAGTTCTTGTTGTCTTCAACCATTTTTCCCTCTTTTCGTTTCCTTTGTTGTTAATCCTGCCCTGCCTCTGCCGGCTCGTTTTTGTGGAACTTTTTTTATGTTTTTAATATTCGCAAGGTGGTGCTGGAGGTGCGTAAGAGCGCGGAAGGGGACCCAGACGGTCTCTCCGAGGGCCTGGAAGCCGTCCGACGCGCCATCGCCTCCGAGGGGTGCTATCCTTCCAGGGTGGTGAGTCTGACCTCCTCCTGAGGAGGTTCCATTCTTTTTTTCTTTATTCGACACGCCTTTTTCGTTCCTCGTTTAGACTTTTAGTGTACTATTTTTTGCTTGTACCCATTATTGTCCTGTACATGCGCGAGTGTCGCCGTCCTCAACGTTTCTTTCCGAACATCATTATTCCGCTGCTGTCGTTCTCGCGTGCAACAGCCACAACCTCCCCCGAAAAGAACATGCCACAATAACGTTGGCGGAAAACCACTGCGGGGGAGAGAGGGTGATGCGACCGATCGTGCCACCTTTTTTGTTTTGGTTTAGTTTGTTTTCAAGCCGTTTTTTTTTTCTCTATCTCCCCCCCTTTTTTTTTCACAGGTGGCCATCAAGGAGAAGACCATCCCCAAGACCACAAGCGGCAAGATTCAGCGCCGCAGGTCCAGGGGAGATGTTGCACCAGGGTGCACTCTCGGTCATCACCGAGCTCACCGCACCGGTGAGACCGGGGGGGGGGGGGGGGTACTCAATAGTCGTGCATGCCGTAGTCGTTAGACCATTGACCTCGCATCCCTCCAAAGCCGGGACGGAGCACGCCGGGTGCTCACCGGACCAGGCTCTCACATCACCAAGCGCGAAGCGCCGTGAGGTATTCGGCGAGTCGCATGAAGGGTGCGCTGCATCCTGCTAACGGTGGTCGGCATCTTGCGCTTACTTCCTTGCGTACGGATGACAGCTGCGTATGACTAGTTTATAGACTAGTCAGCGGCTGGCTGGCCTATGGTTTGAATTCGACTGCCGAAACAACAAAAACGCAAACAAAAAGAAACTTGCTGAACAAAAGCACCATCACTCTGTTGGAAAATACACGGACCATTCGGATCCGAGTGTGAATGTCCCAATGGTCCCTACATTTCTAAAACAGAGCGGGAATGTCGTGGTGTCCGAATGACCCGACACTTTCCTTCCTATCCCCCCCCCCCTTCGGACGATGCTCTGACCCGTCTTCCTTCTCCCCGGCTGAACAAACCTCCTCGAAAAGTCTGGCGCTCTGGAGCCGGCCTCTTCTACAGCCGCCGCCGCCGCAGTTTCGGGGGGGGGCGTAGCCGCAGCAGCGTCGACCTCGTCGGAGTCGGGGTCGGAGCCATCGTCCTTGTCGTCGTCGCTGTCTTCCTGGGTGTCCGCGTCTGTACCGGTGCCCCCCCGCCCGGCCTCCTCCTCCTCCTTATCGTCTGAAGCTTCTGATGCCGCCGCCGCCGCCGCCGCTGGTGCTGCTGCTGTGGCATCGCCCACGGCTTCACAGCCGCCAACGGGGGGGTCTGAAGGTGCTGCTACTGCCGGCAGCACTGACTCCTTGGGGGCATATCAAGAGGGGGGGGAGGGTCTCCGGCAGGACCAGCTGCGGGGACCCCGGGGGGTCGGTGACGACAACGCCGGGGGGGCCGCCGGGAGGGAGTCGTCGGACGGCGACGCCAGCCTGCTGTCGAGGCAGAAGGACGAGAGGCTGGACGCGCTGACCAAGCTCGTCGTCAGCACGGCCACGGACGTTCTCAGGGTAAGTCATCGTCCGGGCAGACCCCAGACCCGTCTTTTGCGAGCTCAACGCCCCCGTGGTTTGTTCGTGGTTTAACCTCGTCCACCAACGTTGCTGCTTGTGGTAGCTGGTAGACTGGTTGGTGCTCTAGATAGGTGCGAGGATTGCGTATCCTTCAAAATGGCAAGAAGCAATGTAGTTTTTCGTTGCGCACGCCAAAATCCGACGGCACGGTCGACGAGGGAAAGGAACGGGTGAATCCTTGTCGCGATAGAAAACGAAGGCAAGCATTGCGGAAGGAAGGCGAACAACAAACTCCTGTGTGACATTTCTCCTCCTCTATGACTCCGGCTGGTGACTCCAGAAAAATGTACTTAATTAGTTTATGCATGAGATTGGGTCCTTTGAACCTTGTATCAAGGCTAACGAACCAAGCAGTCACCCGTCCCTCCAAGAAAAATGCATTTCAACTACTATGTACGTACTACATTTTTCTTTCTTGCCGCTCGTTACGGGTACCTCAAACATCAATCCCTCTTCGAAACCCCCTCCCTTACATGATTGTTTGACGCTCGGCAGGGTCGTGCCATCTCCCCGGACCAAGCCCTCTTCGACGCTGGCTTCGACTCCATCACCGCGGAGGAGTTCGTGGGCAGGCTGCAAGAGCGCCTGTCGAGCGGGGGTTGGGTGTCCGGCGGCCTGCCGGGAGCCGAGGCGGTGGTCTCGTCGACAACGGTGTTCGACTGCCCCACTGCGAGACACATCGCTGAGCACGTGGAAGGCGCTCTGAGCAAGACGGGGGCTGGAGACGGCGTAGCGACGGATGGTCCTCAGGCCAGGTACATGTAGAGCGAGGCACCGTACTGGTGTAGATTGATTTGGTGGTGGTGGCGGTTGTGCGATTTTTGGACAAAGGTCAAGGCACTCGTGGACTACTGTAATTGGTTGATTTTTGACTGCCTCGTGGTGGCGGTACGGTTTTTGCGCCAAGGTCGACTGATTGTTAACGCTCCTTTGATTTTTCCTCATCGATCTCTCTCGCTGCCTGTCCCGTTTGTCTCCAGCAAACCTTGTTTCCTCTCGCCGACATCACCCCCCCCCTCCCCCCCCCAACCCACCCCCCCCGCACCTGGCATTGCCAAACCAGCAGCACGGAATCCGGAGACGGAGGGGGAAGCGGTCATTCGCTGGCGGTTGTGGGCATATCTTGCCGCTTCCCGGGAGGCTGTGACAGTCCCGAGGCGTTCTGGGATTTCCTTCGGAAGGGTGCCGACGCCACGTCGGGGGTGCCATCGGACCGGTGAGCGTTTGTTTCATTTGTCGCTTCCGCTGGCGGTGCTGCTGCTGGCGTTGTTGCTTCTGGTTCTGCCTTGCCGTTGTTAGTGGTTGTTGCTGCTGTCTTTCTTGCTGCTGCTGCTGCTGCTGCTGCTGCTGTTGCTGCTGCTGCTACTGCTGCTGTTGTTGCTTCTGGTTCTGCCTTGCCGCTGTTGGTGGTGTTGCTGCTGTCTTCTTTGGCGCTGCTGCTGCTGCTGCTGCTGTTGTCTTTTGTTCTTTCTGCTGCGGTTGCGGTTGCTGCTGGTTCTGCCTTGCGGTTGTGTGTCATTCGCGTGCAACGTGAGGCTTGTTGATGTCAGTTCCACACCCCCGCTGTTCGCAGGAAGAAAGCCGCCACCCTTCACTTACCGTATCCAACCGCTTCAACGCCCCCCCCCCCCCCCCCCCCCCTTTTCCCCCTAAAAACAAACCCCCCCAACCAAAAACTGGAACACTAACCCCCGGGAAAGGAAGTTTACCCAAGAAGGGGCCCCCGCCAAAGGGAAACCCCGGAAAAACCAAAACCCCGGGGGTTTTCCGCCCCAAGGGGAAGCCCGGGGGAACCAAAAAACAATCTA